TGGGGTGATGCAGTGTAAACTTTGGAAGTACCATCATGAAACCAGGAGACGATCTGAACCTCCATAGAAACTTGTTCTATTTGAACTTGTGCAGCTGCCCCGTGTGACCAAGTTATTTTATGCCTTGTCCTCTGAGAATCATTTCTTTTCTCCTTGCAGAAAATCCTGAGCGTGCCGCTCTGTATTTCGTCTCTGGGGTATGCATCGGACTCATCTTGACCCTGTTGGCCTTGGTGCTGAAGGTGTCCTGCCGAACTGACTGCAAGCAATCCCCGGGGAAAAAGCCACCTCGGGAGCCGGAGAGCGACAGCGACAGCAGTGACAGTGAGGATGATTCGGACACCACTTCGGACCTGTCGGCCCGCAGGCACCGCAGGTTCGAAAGGACTTTGAACATGAACGTCTTCACCTCAGCCGAGGAGCTGGAGAGGGCTCAGAGGCTGGAAGAGCGAGAGCGCATCATCCGGGAGATATGGATGAATGGGCAGCCGGACATTCCAGGGACCAGAAGCCTGAACCGCTACTACTAAGTGTTGGGAAATCCCACAGGCCGGTACTGCAGCCTACGTCTTCCTGGGCCTGCTAAAGAGGAGAGAGAGGAAAGGAGTGTTACATTGGAGTCTCCCCTTTTCCTTTCAGAAGGGCTAACTGGAGCAGCGTGGATGGACAGCAATAAAGCTTTCACCTTCCCCTTTTCCCTGACTTATTGCTACCGACACCAGGAAATCACCCCCCAGTATTTTCTCTCTGGAATCAGTCTGGTTATAGCAGAGGTGGATGCCAGCTTCTCTTCTTGGTGTAGTTCAACGGTGGGTGGGAGGCATGCAAGTAAAGCCCTCCCCCAGCGCTTGGAAGTTGAACATGCTACGGTACAAACACTGCTCTCATGCTTGCCAGGGAAACCATCAGTGTTCTGCTTTTCCCAATGATTTCAGGAGAATCGAAAGCAAACTGAGACGTGTGTCCGCTAAAGGAAAGATAACATGGGGAGGGAGGCACAAGCGCATGATGAGTGACTGTCTTGTGACTTTATAAGATGTGGGGATTCTTATGCCATGAAATCATCTTGGTGCTTGGACGTTCAACAGTGTGTCCTGTTATTTAAGATGGTGTTTTAATCTGTTCTCAGTGGCAGCATTTTTTTACTGACACCTCAGGGATAAAATCCTTTTTTAAAAATATGTTTCCCCCTCTTCTTCCCCACAAACCAACCTGCTCCCACCAGGGAAATTATGGTATTATAGGAGATGTGTCAGTGATCAGTGAAATGTTAAACAGCCTCAAAGAGGTTGAAAGGGGTTTTGTTTGTTTTGAATTGATATATATATATATATATATTTGAAGAGGCTGCACAGCAATGTGCCTTATTCTTTTTTATTGTTAAACTACAGTTTTCCATGGATAGTGATGCACAATGTTTTATATATTTTATTAAAAAAAGAAAAGAAAAGGTTTGTATTTACAAGAGGAAAATGGGGATGAAATGGGTCAAATACGCCAGCAGGATGGGAAATAAATGCGAAATAAACTCTGCGTTGTTTATATCTATTTTAATTTGCATCCTTGCTCCTGGCTCATGCTTCGCTGCAGTAAGATACTTTGGAAGAACAACAAGCTTTTGCAGCCACTCAAAGCTGATGCAAGTGTCTAAGGCAGTGGTAGGCAACCTGCGGCCCGCGGGTTGCCCACCACTGGTCTAAGGGTACGTCTACACTGCAAAAGAAGGTGTGTTCTTAACTCAGGTTAGTCAACGCAGGTTAAAAAAGCAGTGAAGATACAGCAACTTGGGTTTTCTCACACACACACACACACACACACACCTCCCTCCCTCCCTCTCTACATGAGGTGGCACCAAACATGGTGCGTGGCTAGCTAGTTCTTGCTCACATGCTCAGGGTCTAACTGATCATCATATGTGGGGTCATGAAGGAATTGTCCCCCTGGTTAGATTGACAGTGACTTTGAGGGAGGAGGTTGTCTTCCTCTTCAGCGTGTGGGTGGGGATCACTGCCAGGATTATCTGGGTATATGTCAATCATTTCCCGGCCATTGCAGGGCTACACCTCAGTCCCTCCTATTTCCTGCCTGTGGCACTTCATAGCCTAATCTCTTGTGAGCCGCAATATTTGGTTTAATTTTGGTGGGTGGGTTTAGTGTGTTGATGCTGGGTGATGATGGTGGCCTGTGATATACAGGCGGCCAGACTACATGATCAGGTGGTCCACTCTGGCCTCAAACTCTATGACATACCCTAAATAGCCGTTAAATCCTATCCATGCCTAGGGCTCCTCTCACACCCTTACGCACCCTTTTCCATTGTTCTCTGAGCACATCAACCTATTTCAGTGGTGCCTGCTTCCATGAACAGCTGCTCTATGGATCAGTTCTATAAAGGCTTGTTCCAAAGCTCCTTGAAGTCAGTGGAGCGACTTCCATTGATTTCAAGGTGTTTTGAATATACCCCAACATCCCAAGCCTTGCCGGGTGCTTGATAGTGACAGATGCCAGTGTTAAATTAATAAACTTGAGAAACTTAAAAAAAAAAAAACCCTTAATATTCATTAGCACATTTTAGTGCTTCATGAATAGTATGTGCTAGTTTTTATTAGCTGGGTCATAACTCTGCAGTGAACACATTAACTCAGGTTCTTACTCTGGTGTTGCTCCTATCTCCTCCGTCCTGTCCACACACACAACCCTTTCACACCAGTTTTGTAAGACTTTGAACCTGGGCCATAGGGCCCATCTGGGTATAGGCTAGAGCTTGGGTTCTGCTTCCACTTGGGCTGGTAGCCTGCCCACTTTGCAGTGAGGACGCAGACTAAATCACTCAGGTGCTGATAATTTGCCAAGGCCTTCCCATATTTGCCCCAGAAGGACAGACAAGTTCTTCTTCGAGTGCTTGTTCATGTCCATTCCAATCAGGTGTGTGCACGGTAGCCGGAAGATTTTTCCCCTAGCAGCATCCGTCGGGTTGACCTGGGCGCCCCCTCGAATCGCGTCTTTATGGCGCTCAATATAGAGCCCTGCCGACCTGCCACCCCCTCAGTAACTTCTTACCGTCAAAGATGGTTAGCTGGAACCTCCCATAGTCCCCTAGGACAGAGGCAGCTCTGGTTTCAGGTCCGGCTTCGGCACCGACATCAGCTTCGGTGCCAGCATCAGCTTCGGTGCTGCCGCTATTACCGGCGCCGGCTTCAACAGTGGCTCCTGCGCCACCAACAGCGGCTCCAGCACTGACAGCGGCTCCGGCACCGGCGCCGATACTGACATCGGCACTACGTTCGGTGCCGACAGCCCCAGCACTAAGCATGACATCATCCATGGCGGCCAGTATGGGACAGCTTAGACATGATCGTAACCCTGCCTCGCCCAGTACTCAACTCCCTCCTGTGGTGGCTTGACCCACAGGGAGTATATGCACGAGTCCCCTTCACTCAAAGAAGAAAAAAATGGTTACTCACCTTCTCGTAACTGTTGTTCTTCGAGATGTGTTGTTCATGTCCATTCCAATAGCCACCCATCTACCCCACTGTCAGAGTAGCCGGCAAGAAGGAACTGAGGGGGTGGTGGGTCGGCAGGCTCTATATTGAGTGCCATGGAGGTGCGACTCCAGGGAACGCCCAGGCCGACCCGACGGATGCTGCTAGGGGGAAATCTTCCAGCTACTGTGCACACGCACACACACCTGATCGGAATGGACATGAACAACAAATCTTGAAGAACAACCGTTACGAGAAGGTGAGTAACTGTTTTTTCTCCCACAATTCACTGGGAAAGAATCAGAGAGTGGCTTAGCTTGCAATGTAGCTACACACCTGGGCGAGGCTCACCGGGGTGCTAATCACCCAAGTTAACTCTGCAGTGAAGACAGACCTTAAGGGGCTGGTGCTCAGGCATCACTTAGGAGCTTTCAACCATTCCACTCTCTGTGTTTGTTGCCAAGTGCTGATAAAGGAAATGGTGATGAAAAGCACCGAGCCCCCTTAGCCCGCCCTGAAGTCACTGGGAGTTGAGGACACACAGCCCCTCCCAGGAAGCACTTGGTATATTGCAGGATGGGGCCCACATTTGCAAGGATTTACCTTTCATGCTAGACCACTCTCACCTGAATGCATCCAACAGCCTTTCTGGGATTCATGTCTTTGCCTGCGAGGTCTGAAGCAGCTGGGGGTCTAAGCAGCCACATGACATTCCTGTCGCGGATTGAAAACAGGTTAAAGCTGGGCTGAGCACACCTGCCCTCTCACAGCAACTGCCCAATAAGAACCAAGCTGAGCAACTGCAGCTGGTCTCCCTCGTGACTTCAAGCAACAGGAGGCTGGATTGGCCGGCCATGGGTCTGAACAGCCATTGCAGATGCAAGGGCAAAAACATGTCACTGGTTATAGGCAAAGTAGGCAGCTGCCTTGGGTGGCAGATTGCTGAGGGCTGGTCTACACTACCGCTAACGTCAATCTAACTTATGTCACTCAGGGGTGTGAAAAAGATCCCCCCCCCCGCCGAGCGACATAAGTTACAGCGACCGAAGCGCTTTCCACCCCGGCGCGATGCTGGCGGGAGACGCTCTCCTGCTGACATAGCTTCCCTCTCTCGCAGAGAGGGAATAATTATGCTGACGGGAGAGCGCTCGCTCATCGGCACACAGCGTCCTCCCCAGACGCGCTACAGCGGCACAGCTATGCCCATGTAGAGCTGTGATGTAGACTTGCCCTTAGAGAAGCCACTTAAATTTGACCCGGCCGCCCCGCCATCAGGCCAGCAGGGAAGGGGCTTTGCTGGTATGTCAGCCAGTGGGTAAAGAGGGAGCCTGGGTCCGGTGCTCCCCCGCCATTGCGTCCCTGCCGACTTCAGTGTGCTGTCTTCTTCCTCATAGGAACAAAGGGGGGGGGGAAGAGCCATTGTCCCCCTTTTTTAAATGGGGGAGGGCCATGCCCCCACTTTTAAGAATCTTTCCTAGCAAAGGCTTCTCCTGCTCTTAAAGGGACATGCACCTGAATATGGCGGCGGTCATAGAAAAGGTAATGCCTCTTTGGTTGTATTCTCTTTTCCAACATGTCCCCCCCTGCACTGCCCTCTCCCAATGTGTACATCCCAGACAACGCACCAGGGTGTTCGGGAAGGCGTGTTCTGCCACAGACATCCTGTGTGGCCTTGCACAAGACATATAGGGCCAAGTTGTTAGGTGCTTAAAGATGCAGCTAAGTGACTCGTGTGATCTTAAAAAGGGCCTAAGTGCTTAACTCCCAAACACAGTTAGAGGCTTTTGACAGTCCCAACAGCTCTCTAGCTGCACCCTTGGGGCCTATATACCTTTAAAAATCTGTCCCTCACTCTCCCTGGCCCAGAGCCTCAAAGGTATTTAGGCACCTAACACCCCTGAAATCAATGCTGCCTGAATACCTTTGAGGATCGGAGCTGTGCCTCAGTTGCCCATCTGTAAAATGGGGATAAAAGCACTTCCCTACCTCGCAGGAGTGCTGGGAGGATAAATACATTGCAGATTGTGAGGGGCACAGCTACTGTGGTGCTGGGGGGGCCTCATAAACACTATGTTTGAATATGGCACCCCATTTACTAGTTAAGTATTTTAGGACACAGTGTGTACCTCTCACCAACTCATCTGAGAACTTCTTGCTCCTTGGCATAGTAACAATTCAATGAGGGGTCTCTAACTGAAACCAATGGAGCGTTGTAGCCTTTTCATAAAGGTGAATGCTGGCTTTACCCGCACGGGTCCAGAGCTCAACGTGATCACCAAATATGGAAATTCGGGGCTAGATTTAAAACTAGGTCTGGTGACACTAAGCATCACAGTGCCTAACTTTTAGGCCCTTTGAAAATCACTGGGAATCACAAAGCCTGAGGTAGGCGCCAAGGCTCCCTACACAATGAATGGGGAGAGACAGGGGTCAGAATGGGATTCACAAAAGCCAGCATGCTATGTGACTCCATGCCTAAGCTAGTCAGTGGGAGATGCCAAGCCAAGCACGTAGCTCTGAGAGGGAGAAGTCCTAGCTGCATGGAGGCACCTCTCTGAACTTGGGAGTCTCAGCTGCAAACCCTGTCTTGGAGTTAGGCACCTACGCTGTAGCTACAAGAAGCTGCAGGGGATGGTCCAGTGGTTGGGGTACTCACCTGGGATAGGGGAGACACCCAGTTCAATTCCTCCTGCCCCTGAGGGACAGAAGGCTTTTGATCAGGGGTCTGCCACCTGTCAGGCATCCGCTGGGCTCTGAGATGGTCTGATGTAGGTCTCTCTCCTGTCGAAACTGTTCCACTGTAGATAAATAGTTTTAAAAAGCCCTGGAGGAGGAGGCCTGCATCTTAGGTCTCTCACTCCCCATTCTTGCACTCACCCGCAGGCTACAGAGTCATTCTCATGCTTATGCTTTCTCATGTGCTCTCTGGCCCAATGATGCTTTCATAATTTATCCACAGTGCAACAGGCGCGAGTGAAGGAGGCCCACATCGGAATAGCCCATGGTCCTGTAGCCAAGTTAGGCAGAGGGAACACCCATCTGCCCCCTGGTATGTGCAGCGCTCTGGGGCTTAGGCATCTGGACTCCTAGAGTGGAGCAGCAGCGTGCATGCTCAGAGGCAGAAACATAGGCACCTAGGGGACTTTTACTGCAAAAATGTAACTGCGGAGCAAGTTTAGGCACTTGAAATGTTCAGCAGCAGCTGAGCTGGAGTTTTGTGAATCCCAGAAGGGCCTGATTCTGGGATTTAAGTGCCTAAAGTCCTTTTGTGACACTAGCCCTATGTGTTAGATCTTGCAAACTACTAGTCACACCAGTAGTCAAACTGAAGTCCAGTCTATTTGCCTGCAGTCCGTGCCATCATTCACGTGTCTGGCAAGACTACAAACATAGGCATGGGAACTATGGGTGTGGGGGGTGCTGCAGCACCCCCAGGGGCTCCACTCCTGGCCCTGCATGCAGGGCTCTGTGTCACCCCACCTGTGGTCCAGCCTCGGCTCCCTTACCCCTGTCTGTATCACCCCCCTGGAGCCATGGTCTACTCCTGGCCTCAGCTCTGGGGGGTGGGGCAGGGGGCGCGATAGGGGCAAGGGGGGGCATGAGGTAAAAAGTTTTGGGATCACTGGTTTACAGTTTCATTAGCTGGCTTTCAGCCCCTCCCTCCCCCCCTGCTGCTGAATACAAACACTAGACTGGTTCCAATTACATACTCATTATTTTTTCCTGTTCATTCCCCACCCCTCTGGATTTGCCACAGTCATGCCCACCTCACACGGTCATCCCAGTTTCGAGGCACTGACCTCTGATGGGGAACTTTGTTCAATGTACCCTGAAAAGCTAGGTAATGCGCTGTCTGCTGCCTTTCCCATGTCCACGCTGGTGTTAATATCCTCAAAGAATTCCAGCGAGTTAATGAGGCTTGGCTTTCCCTTCCTCAACTCTCCCTGGCTCTACTTAACCCCTTGACTGCCATGGTGCTCAGCACACCAGGGGCTACCCAAATAAAGCAAGTTCGCTTAGCCAGCAGCTCAGCAGAATGTAAAGCATATGCTCAGGATGCTGTGGGAATGGGTGTTTCCTCTCTCGCTGCATGAGTTTCTAAGGCCTCTCGAGCCGTTAATCGTGTTATACGTTCTCACGCAGCCTCCGGCGCTCATAGATGTTACTGTGGTCTCCCTCACAATGAATGTTTAACAACCTGCTCTGAGCTAGTGTCGCAGCCCCTGAAAAACCAAAATCTCAAGATACTGGCTTCTTTCCATGCTCTATAATTACCAGGTTTTCCGCCTCACCATTCTCTTCCCTGCCTCCACCCTACTTCATTTAGTTCCTCTATCCCTTGGTTCATATATTTTTTAATACAGCCAAGGTCTTTGGCTCAAGGACTGTCACATGTAAGGTCACTCTCTGAGAACAGCATTCCCTGCTGGCTTTGCTTGGTTGTTTATACCATCCCTGAAGTATGTACTGTTGTTAATACCTACAGCCTGAAGAGGTTCACTCTTTGAGTGAAAAATGCCAGGTTAGCAGCAATGGAGCCTGAACTCACCCTTCCAGAGAACAGCTCCCTAGGCAGCAGCCGTGTAATTTTCACCCCTAGTAAGCTTCACCTCTGCCTTGGAGGATTCCCTTGATGAGATGAAGGGGTCGTTGAGTGGCCAAGCTAGTTCAGTTCTTGGCTCCTCTGCCGGCATTAGACTGTCTGAGCTATAAAATGGGCAATCTCAGGCTAGGCCCTGCAAACTCTCCACTGCACAAGTTGTTCTTACAGGAGCAGGGGCCAAATGCGATAGCATGGACACCCGTCTGCTAGGAACGGATGGAGCTCACAACATTCATTTCACACAGGGCATAGATTATTATTCATACTAGGCCCTGCCCTATGTCCCTTCGATACTTGTACAGCCCCCATTACCATAGTGTCTGAGTGCCTCACACTCTTCAATGTATTTATCCTCACAACACCCCGGAGAGGCAGGGCCATGCTATTAACCCCCTTTTACAGATGCGGGACTGGGGCACAGAGACGACATTCATAGAGGGGACTCAGGCACTGCAGCTGAGCTAGGTATGTACGTGACGGTCAGTTTCTGTCACAAGAAGGTTGGGGAGAGGGGGAAGAAAAGGAAATATTGTTCTCATTTTACTGATAGGGACCTGAGGCACAGTGAGATGAAGTGGCTTCTCAAAGGTCTCACAGGCCATCTTTAGCAGAGCCAGGAACTGAACCCACAACTCCCGAGTCCCAGTCCATTATTATTTGTATTACTGTAGTCCCTAGGAGCCCTAGTCATAAACAAGGGCCCCATTGTGCTAGGTGCTGTACAAACACAGAACAAGAAGATGGTTCCTGCCCCAGACAATTTACAATGTGAGTAAAAGACAAGAGACAGCAGGTGGCTACAGACAGACCGATGGGGGAGTACAAGGAAACACTATTGATCAGCGCGATAGGCTGCGGCCTCAGCACAGTAGTAGTCTAACCATTGTACCTTAACCATTTGAGCGTCCTTTTCAGCAGGGTACTGCCAGATGGCCCCAGCTTTTGGATCGCTACGGAGCCGGACTTGGTTGGAACTGGTGAGACAGTCCTGTAGGAAAGCACCTTCCTTGTAGGATGCTTTCAGTCAGGGGGGCTCCAGCCTTCTGCAGCCCCTGGTCTCTCCAGCAGGAGGCATTCTACAGCACTGAGGTGCTCCATGCAAAATGTTTCCGCAGATTCCTGGGGATAGTTGATGGGCTCATCCTGCCAGCCCCACCATTCCCCAAGCACAGATTCCTAAATCCACAGGGATGGAAGGAAGTGATGCCACAGAGGAAACAATCCCTACTTCCCAATATCTCTGTATAAGGTGGCTATTACCTTGATAGCTATTAGAGCCAATCAAGACCAAGACCAAGTAAGTGTTGTTGCCCCTTCTCCTAGTACCAGTGTCACCCTTCTGCTGAGCAGCAGTAGCTATCAGGGCCTTGCAGGTTAGCTTTCCAGTGGAGGAGAAGTCAATGATGTGGAGTTTGGGTATGTGCTAAGTGAAAGTTGCTTATTTACACATATACAGCAGTCCCAGAACAGAGGTGGCAATCCCCCGCTTCAGCAATCTCAGCCCTGCGCCACTGCCCCATTCCCAGGGAGCAACTCTGCCTCAGACTCTGCTCAGAGACCAAATGAGGAGGGCAACCTCCTGCTGGATGCACACCACGCTAATACAGACAACTTGCAAGAGTAGGCGTTACAGCGCCACCTGCCATAACAGCATGTGTCTCACACACACAAAATGGGAAACGTTTTCAGGTTTGTACAAAATCTTCACAAAAGATTTTTTTCAACTGTGGCTGATAGTTTGATTTAAAACCAACAACGACAAAACATTTTGAAGTTATTGTCTTCTCTCCCCTTTTTTTCCCCTCTGCCATTTTCTGAGACATAATGAAAAATAAGGGAGACAAGACTGGAAACTGAACTCTTTTCAGTTTTGAAAGCCGAGCGGTTTTCATTTTTCCATCAAAATTGGATAATTAAAAAAAAACCCTAAATATTC